GTGGTTTAGACACACTGAACATGAAAATGGTGTCCGTGACCCTTGTTTATGCCCTGAGGTCATCTTAGGTCACGAATGGTATCTATCAGTTTTTCGCAAATAACTTTTGATAGAGGCATGCTAGAGCGATGAAAACGCCTTAGATGTGTTCAGCACGACGATACGGATCGACTGATATGCAACATGACCCTTTCCGGTCAGGTCATGACCTTGACCTGAGGTCAAATTTTCAAGTTGACCTTTCAAGGTCAAGTTATAGTTCATTCGATGCGTCTTGACGAGAGGAACACGATGCCGGTAAAAATAAGCTCGTACAGGGCTTGGGTCAAAAGTTATTGCAGAAAAACTGTTTCCGAAAAAATCGGCTATTTTTGCAGTTTTTGCCCCCTGCAGGCAAAACCGTTGACGTTAGGTCAAATCTGAGAGAATTACTCAGAAAGGGCGTTAATTGGGCTATCGAATGCGCTTTTCCGCGGCGCTGTAGCTCTATTGGTTCCCGAGTTATGCGTTGGCTTCTTAGAAATTTTTGACATTCGACCTGGAAATCGGCGAAATTTTGCCTTCAATGACCTCTGGTGACCTGACCTTTGACCTGACCAAAAAATTGACCGAAGTGATTTCGTCATTATTTTTGACGCTCTTTCGAACGCCGCCTTCCGCGTATCGCTACGTGGCCCAGGAGCCGAGTTACAAGGGGGGGTGTTCAAACACCCCCCCCCCCCCAGCAGGGCGTGGAAATCCAGGACCCCCAGCCGGGCGCGGGTTAAGGTAAAAGGGAAAACAAACCTACCCGACTCAGAACTCAGAACTAGCTAGACCTGACTGAAAGGAGGTTTCACTTACCAATGACGTATGATTCATTGTTAAAACGAGCAAATTGAGTGAGATGAGTGTAAATAATGACTCATTTAGGTCAGCTGATCCGAATGACTGAGGTCACTTCTCACTATAGTGTCTGTCTTCGTGGAGGGGGTGGGGTGGGGAGGGGGTGGGGTGGGGAGGGGGTGGGGAGGGCAGCTTCTGGGAAATAGTTGCATGTAGATAGTAAGAAATGAGCGTTGTTTATCATTGAAATGGCTATTATATTTGGGAAGACGATAATTGAGCCAATGGCAGTTGGCTTGCAGCAAAAGTTGCTAAATGTATCTATATTATATCGAATATACCCAGTAGCGGCGGAACACCTTCAATTAAGGGGGGGCACTTCCGACTTTTGGTCCCATTCTTTCCATGCAACGCCCATAGGGCTAATGTTAAAAGGCCAAAATCAAAGGGGGGCACGGTGCCCCGGTGCCCTCCCCGTTCCGCCGCCTATGAATATACCTACATCTTGTCTCACCCAATAAAATAAAATTGTGCTTTTTATAAACGAGGCTTAATGACAATTCCACAAAAAATGGAAGCTTATGAAAAAAAACATTACCTAGTGCGAGCTTTTCTTCGTCGCTGTTCAATCCGACATTTCAGGCTTGGTCAGCGGACTAGTAGACCTCACGATATGCACTGCAGTCACGTGGCCATAGTCGCATGTTACGGCAATCGCCGCCCGGGGCTATTCCCTGGCTCGGTGCCAGCCGCCGGGGAGGGGAGGAGGGGAGGTGGACGCTACTACCGGTGTTCTGCGCCAAGTGAGCCACCCCCCCCCCCCTTACCCCCGCCCAGTGAGGGCACCTGTCCCTCCCTCCCCTCCCCCTCCCCCAAGACCTGTCAAAGTTCGGCCTCGAAATGTTTCCCTAACAAGTGAGTCGGACAGAGCTGAATGAGACCACGCGTGGATTTCGCGGAGCATGAACGTTTAAAAGAATATTATCAAGGTTCTATCAATGGAACTACACAAGAAAGTATTGTATCTTTATTGACATTATATGCAATATAAATGGTATAAATGGTACATCAGAGACCGGTGCTTAACCCGGCAGTTGCTGGGGTATTTCGCCACCCACCGTTTGCTGGGGGGGGCGTTAAACGCCCCCAGCCGATAACTCGAGAACCAATAGGCGCAGCGAAACGCACGAGGCGGCAAACGAAAGAGCGCGACGAGACGCTTCAGATGAGTACTTTAAAGTTGAATTTTGAGGTCACAGGTCGGGTCAAGGTTAGGTCAAACACCTGAAATCGGGCTTTCAGTAGCATGGACTTCAGGGCTTCGCAATGGGCGCCTCTCGTCATAAACGTTGTCAAAACGGTGCACAATCCATCATATAAGGCCTACAAGAGTGTCAGCTCAATGTAGGGGTCAGTCAAGCATAGGTCAGGGTCAAGGTCAGGTCAACCGGGTAGGCACATATCCCCGAAAATCAAAACTGATATTCGCAGCCTGCGACACATGTTTTATGGGTAATTTGGGGCGTAGAACCCGATGGTGACATTCATTTTATCGTATGTGTACGTGTTTGGCCCAAAAAGTTCAATTTAAGAAATGTATGTATCATGGTCGTGAAGTAGTCGCGAGAAATTGCCAAGATTCAGTTCAAGATTTTGGAAAATGCAGAATGATAATCAATAATCGAAGATAGCCATTTGATTTTCCATGGTATTGGCAGTCTAATGGCGTTTACGGCATGTCTGTATGTCTATTCTGTGATTTTATATGATTTTTTGAACATATGCCGTTTTTGGTCGAAAACTCAGAAATCATGACGTCACTAAAACCTCGATATCTCAAAAATTTTCCGACCGATTTTTTTGAAACTTTGTCACAATAAACTTCAATCAATTCCCTACAGGTGCCCAAATTTTGGCGCGCCTGCGGCGCGCCGTTTTTATGCTACGGCCCGGCGAAAAAAGTGGGGGCGTTTAACGCCCCCCCCCAGCAACTCGCGGGTTAACCCGCGCCCTGCTGGGGGGGGGGGGTGTTTGAACACCCCCCCTTGTGGTTTTTCGCGAATATCTCAAAAACGGCGGCGCGGAGCGCCGCCGTTTTTGGTATACCTTATCATACATCAATTCTTCACATGTTGTGAAAATTTCAGACCAAGGTCATTCAAGGTCAGGTCACCAGGTCACTTGAAGTGACCTCACCTCATAAAAAGTTTCAATGTCTGCCATAGCTACACCGAGTGACCGTCGACCGATCGCTTTGAAACTTTCAGCGATTGATAAGAGTAACAGTATCTATAAAATGTATATCTCGGAATTTTGATATCGGTGACCTAAGGTCAGGTCAATTTTGCGACCTCCCCATTATAAGTCAATGGGAGAAAATTGAAATGCGCCTCTTTTGGACGAAAGACATTATAAACACTCCCAAACACTGAATTACAAGTGGTTTAGACATACTGAACATGAAAATGGTGTCCGTGACCCTTGTTTATGCCCTGAGGTCATCTTAGGTCACGAATTGTATCTAACAGTTTTTCGCAAATAACTTTTGATAGAGGCATGCTAGAGCGATGAAAACGCCTTAGATGTGTTCAGCTCGACGATACGGATCGACTGATATGCAACATGACCCTTTCCGGTCAGGTCATGACCTTGACCTGAGGTCAAATTTTCAAGTTGACCTTTCAAGGTCAAGTTATAGTTCATTCGATGCGTCTTGACGAGAGGAACACGATGCCGGTAAAAGTAAGCTCGTACAAGGCTTGGGTCAAAAGTTATTGCCGAAAAACTGTTTCCGAAAAAAATCGGCTATTTTTGCAGTTTTTGCCCCCTGCAGGCAAAACCGTTGACGTTAGGTCAAATCTGAGAGAATTATTCAGAAAGGGCGTTAATAGGGCTATCGAATGCGCTTTTCCGCGGCGCTGTAGCTTTATTGGTTCCCGAGTTATGCGTTGGCTTCTTGGAAATTGTCGATATTCGACCTGGAAATCGGCGAAATTTTGCCTTCAATGACCTCTGGTGACCTGACCTTTGACCTGACCAAAAAATTGACCGAAGTGATTTCGTCATTATTTTTGACGCTCTTTCGAACGCCGCCTTCCGCGTATCGCTACGTGGCCCAGGAGCCGAGTTACAAGGGGGGGTGTTCAAACACCCCCCCCCCCCCCAGCAGGGCGTGGAAATCCAGGACCCCCAGCCGGGCGCGGGTTAAGTCTTATGAAAAACCATCCCTCCCTCTCTCTCTCTCTCTCTCCCTCGCCGGTTACCCTAGCCGCCGTTCTCCTGTTTTATGCAGACATATGGGCACTGGTTTGTTGAGTATTTATTTTTATCGCAATAATATCACGAAACAATTAACACCCAATTTCAACATGGGTTGACTAGATGACCAGGAAAACGAACTACCACACGGATATGTAATTCTGAACGGTATTACTTATCAGAGTATTTATAAGGATGTAAAGGAAAGACGAACTGTGACTCAAACAAGTCAAATTTGCCGGCTTGTTAATGGCAACATAGACAACATATAAAAAAGACTAGCGTTTTTCCCTTAAAAAATAACTCATGTTCTCTTTACAACACCAATAGATAATGGAGCACGGCAAATACATAGAGCAAACGTACATTGTGCTAATCCCTATGCAAACGTACTTACAATAATACTGACACAATACACAAAATTAGGCGAGTTCAGATCAAATCCATGGGGGGGGGGGGTGTCGTGAACATAATATACACATATCAAATCCCTGAACTGCATCCAATGGCGTAACGATAGAATACTGATTTGTTCGACTAGAAAGAGCAACTCGTCTTGAAATACATATTCTACACACTGCTACACAAATGACAAAGCAATATACAAAATAAAAATGATAAAGCAATACAAATACATACAACGACAAAGCAATATAAATAATAAGTACTTCCAATCGCCAGTCGTAAAAAACAGCATTGATAAATAATCGTGTGCAATGTTCAAACGACCACATACAATCACTGGCTTCATTGGACGGCTTAAGTGGCTAGTATCACACTAATGGACGGAATAAGTCTCAATTGAGAGAAACTAAGCGCTTCCCAGTTACCTGTAGGAACGCTGACAGATGTCCAAAGTCAGTCGCGGAGCATTGACGACCGTCCTGACATCTATAGGTGAGATCACAAAGCTTTGGTTTTGCTCTCCGCTGTTGGTGTCGCTACCTGCCGTTGAACCACCCATGGGCTTAGGCCAGTTTCCTCCGGGTTACGGACAAAAGTACGTATCGCTAAAGTACGTAGGACAAAAGTACGTAAGCAAAAGTACGTAGGATTAAAGTACGTATCGCAAAAGTACGTACAGTATAAAGTACGTATGGACAAAAGTACGTCAGGGACAAAAGTACGTATCGCAGAAATACGTACAATATAAAGTACGTATGGACAAAAGTACGTCAAGGACAAAAGTACGTATCGCAGAAGTACGTACAGTATAAAGTACGTATGGACAAAAGTACGTCAGGGACAAAAGTACGTATCGCAAAAGTACGTAGGGTATAAAGTACGTATGGACAAAAGTACGTCAGGGACAAAAGTACGTATCGCAAAAGTACGTAGGGTATAAAGTACGTATGGACAAAAGTACGTCACGGACAAAAGTACGTATAGCTAATGTACGTAGGGTAAAAAGTAGGTATGGACAAAAGTACGTATCGCAGAAGTACGTAGGGTATAAAGTACGTATGGACAAAAGTACGTCACGTACAAAAGCCTACGCATAGCAAATGTACGTAGGGTATAAAGTATGTAGGGTATAAAGTATACTGTGGCGTCTTGCCTTGGGCAAGACGCCACAGATAATTTATTTTGCTACATAGGTACCTGCTTTTGTCTCACATCACCTGGAAGGCCAAATTTGTGCTCAATGTGTTCTTTGGACATTTTACTTTAAATTCCACCCCTCAAATTCATTCACTTATGATCGGACTCCCAGCTAGGAAGTGCTTTGTGAAGCAACTGCAAATGGGGCATTTTCCCCAACCCCAGGGCAAAACACCCCACGGCCTGAGGCAAGAAGCCCCATACACTAGATCAGTGGTCGGCAGGTCATTCGGGGTCGTGCCCCCTTTTTGGGCGCCAGGCAGGGCCATTGCCCCCACCTACCAGACCCCATTGCTGACACAACTATGTTTACTGAAATTCCATACCGTCCTGGAACTCTTTGGGTATTTGTGCATTTCCAATGCATCAAATTTAAAACATGACACTTCCTCCACAAAACATTTAATGCCTATATCCCAGTAGCGGCGGAACACCTTCAATTAACCCTCGCATGTGTAGGGGGGGGGGGGGGGTCGGATGGACCCCCCCCCCCCCATGGTTTTTCGCGAATAACTCGCGTAAAAAGCGGCCGATCGCGACGAAACTTTCAGTACCCTCGCATTGATCAATTTTACACCTACCCTGAAAATTTCATGACCCTGACCCAAATGACCTTTGACCTGTGACCTCTTTTCCGAGACCATGTTTGGCCGGAATCGCGATTTCGCGTATGTCGGCTCGCACTAGCCGCGTGTTTGCAAGCTTTTCGTGGTTTCAAACGTTCAAACATGTGATTTGATGTTACTCCCGTGTGTGTCAAGGTCACCTGAAGGTCAGGTCAGGTCATTGACCTTTGGTGACCTCGGGTGACCTCGGGTCACTTTTTCGAGTTTTACATGTTTCTAGGCTAGTTTTTGGAGCTGAATTCGAATTTAGCAACCATTTGAACATTTACGAAGTAGTTTTGGTGACTTCGTAACATGTTACGAAGCTGTCAGAGGCGGTTGACACGTACTACGAATACCCGTCACGACGCCTTCTGGTTGACCTGACCTGACCTGACCCGACCTGGTCTAAATGCTTCAAGACATCATCTGTGATCAAAACTAACACGATATTCGTGATCAGCACCCCGAAAAACCCCTTAGCAGCCACATTTTACGACTTTCTAACAGGTCCCGATTTTCCCGACTTTGGGTCATTGACCTGACCTGGAAGGTCAACCAATGACCTAGGACCTTAAAATTGGGTATCATCGGCTTCCTCTCGTCACGGGCAACACGCTCGTTTTTTCCGCGAAGCTCTAGCTCGATCAGGGGCCAAACGGCAAGGGGGGGGGTCCAACCGACCCCCCCCCTACACATTAGAAGCTGGCAAACGCCGCACACATGCGAGGGTTAACCCGCGCCCTGCTGGGGGTCCTGGATTTCAACGCCCTGCTGGGGGGGGGGTGTTTGAACACCCCCCCCCCCTTGTAACTCGGCTCCTGGGCCACGTAGCGATACGCGGAAGGCGGCGTTCGAAAGAGCGTCAAAAATAATGACGAAATCACTTCGGTCAATTTTTTGGTCAGGTCAAAGGTCAGGTCACCAGAGGTCATTGAAGGCAAAATTTCGCCGATTTCCAGGTCGAATGTCGAAAATTTCCAAGAAGCCAACGCATAACTCGGGAACCAATAGAGCTACAGCGCCGCGGAAAAGCGCATTCGATAGCCCTATTAACGCCCTTTCTGAGTAATTCTCTCAGATTTGACCTAACGTCAACGGTTTTGCCTGCAGGGGGCAAAAACTGCAAAAATAGCCGATTTTTTAAAACAGTTTTTCTGCAATAACTTTTGACCCAAGCCTTGTACGAGCTTACTTTTACCGGCATCGTGTTCCTCTCGTCAAGACGCATCGAATGAACTATAATTTGACCTTGAAAGGTCAACTTGAAAATTTGACCTCAGGTCAAGGTCATGACCTGACCGGAAAGGGTCATGTTGTATATCAGTCGATCCGTATCGTCGAGCTGAACACATCTAAGGCGTTTTCATCGCTCTAGCATGCCTCTATCAAAAGTTATTTGCGAAAAACTGTTAGATACCATTCGTGACCTAAGATGACCTCAGGGCATAAACAAGGGTCACGGACACCATTTTTAAGTTCAGTGTGTCTAAACCACTTGTAATTCGGTGTTTGGGAGTGTTTATAATGTCTTTCATCCAAAAGAGGCGCATTTCAATTTTCTCCCATTGACTTATAATGGGGAGGTCGCAAAATTGACCTGACCTTAGGTCATCGATATCAAAATTCTGAGATATACATTTTGTACATGCTATTGCTCTTAGCAATCGCTGAAAGTTTCAAAGCGATCAGTCACTCGGTGTAGCTATGACAGACATTGAAAGTTTTTATGAGGTGAGGTCACTTCAAGTGACCTGGTGACCTGACCTTGAATGACCTTGGTCTGAAATTTTCACAACATGTGTAGAATTGATGTATGATAAGGTGTACCAAAAACGGCGGCGCTCCGCGCCGCCGTTTTTGAGATATTCGCGAAAAACCACAAGGGGGGGTGTTCAAACACCCCCCCCCCCCAGCAGGGCGCGGGTTAAGGGGGAGGGGGGAGCACTGCCGACTTTTGGTCCCATTCTTTCCATGCAACGCCCATAGGGCTAATGTTAAAATGCAAAAATCAAAGGGTGCACGGTGCCCCGGTGCCACTGCCCTCCCCGTTCCGCCGCCTATGCTATATCCCATTTAACCCTTGTACAGTCTGTCTTAAAAGTACCGCGCAAAGTGACGGTGGATCCATCAAGCCTGACCGATGAAGGACTGCCAAATTTGAGTCACCGAAGCAATGGACATCCTCGTCCATTCCCCAGCTCCATTGGTTCGGTGACTTTCAAATTATAGCAGGCCCTTCCTCGGTCAGGCTTGATGGATCCACCGTCACTTTGCGCGGTACTTTTAAGACAGACTGTACGTATAGGGGCGGCGGGTGGTTTTTCGTTAAAAGCTCACGTAAAAGGCATTGGATCACGACCAAATTGTACCCTCGAGCCCATCATTTTTTTTTTCACCAGCCCGGAAAATATCATGACCTGAGACCAGTTTTACCTACAGAAAAATAACCGCCTGCCGGAATTTTTGCCTCAAGACCGCTTCACATACGGAGCGTAAACGCGATGGGCTCGTAAGCGGATAGGGCTTTACCGTTTACGCTCCATATGTGAAACGATCTTTAGGCAAAAATTCCGGCAGGCGGCTATTTTTCTGTTGGTAAAACTGGCCTCTGGACCCATAATGACCGTTGGCTTATCCCGCGCGGGGCTGGGGTCTCCAGCCGAACGCGCGGGGCTGGGGGGGGGGGGTAAATTTTACCCCCCCCCCTGTTATCTCCCGAACTAATGGTCCGATTTGGAAAATTCAAACGCCAATCGAAAGCTCTCATCACGAACTACTAAAAACATGTACTTAATTTAAAGTTTGAGGTCAAGGTCAAGGTCAGGTCAAGGGTACAAATTGCAAGTTTCTACAGTATCGGCCTTGCACCGTAGTTGCCGAAGAATGGACTCATGGACTGAGACTGATCGCCCAAAACGTGTTCTTAGGCTACCAAGACAATATTCGTTGCATACAATATCATTCAGAGGTCAAGGTCAAGGTCAGGTCAGGTCAGGTCACCAAAAAACAAAATATAGAAAAGGGCATGTGCGACACATGTTTTATGGGTCATTTTACTCATAGAATTCAATAGGCACACTCAATAAGTGATACGGACCACCTCTGGATGAATTTCAGGTCGAGATCAGGTCAAGGTCAGGTCAAGTGAGGTCAAATTTTGAAGTTGGTTGTTAAGGCCTAAAAAGGTGTCTATCTGATGCAGTTTTTCACGGCGAATCGAATGGTGCTATTTTTGTTTCCGTACGACGTCTAGAACTTCCAAAAAAGTCATTTTTCGAAAATTTTGTGTGTCGTGACGTCATAAAATTTTGAATAACTCCCACATTTTTGAACCGATTCTTCTAAAATTTGGTATGTAGGTGCACATAGACCACTTCTCTGACATATATGCCGGTTTTTTCGATAGACTCAAAATTTTGGATTTTATAATGATTTTCCCAAAAAAGTCAGTTTTTTGAAGAAAAAAAATTTAGGCCAAAATCCAAAATTTTCAAAAAACCGAGATAGCCATTTGATAGACAAAGTAAAATTACGTATAACCTTTTTTGTTACGTCTTGATTCCTTTAAAAATGAAGATGTTAGCGGCGTTTGAACTTTTGCCGTTTTTGAGGCGAAAATGGCGAACATGACGTCACTAAAACGTCAATTTCTCAAAAATTTCCGACGGATTTCGCTCAAATTTTCAGGGAACGTGTCAAATAAGAAAAGGTACTGAAAGTTTGGCGGCGCAGCGCGCCGCCGTTTTTGAGATATCGCAAAAATTCGCGAGGGGGGGGGGTAAAATTTACCCCCCCAGCCCCGCGCGGGTTATGAGCTTTTTATGGAGATCATCTTGAGCCATAAAATCTCACTTCAAGAAGTTATAGCGGGTCCCGATTTTCTCGACACTGATCATTGCCCTCTTGAATGAGACGGAATGACCAAGGACCTTAAAAATGGGCAGCAGCGGCTTCCTATGGTCACGGGTAGCACGCTCGTCTTTTTTATGCACAGCTCCATATCAGAGTCCGAGAGGCCGCGGGGGTCCGATCGACTCCTCCCCCTTACGTTAGCGGCTGTTGAAACGCCAACAGACGGGCGACGGTTAAAAGTTGCAGCTGCTTTTGAACGACTGTACGGAGGGGTGAGATGGTGAGGCGAGCAGGTACATACGTGAAAGTTGGTATCTAATCAATAGTGTGCTGTGCCTTTGGCCTGGGCTAATCTTTGAACCCTGGGATGCAACAGTCACGATGGCTCCATCACTGGAGCTACAAACTCTAAAAAGATAGGCTTTCTCAGAATCCCTCATTACCCCCACCGAAAGGGCTCCATTACCGCCAAAGGGGGCATGCCCCACCATTTGCCGACCCCTGCACTAGATTAACAGAAGAGAGGATCTTTCCCCAGAACCCTGCCAGTCCGAGAAACATCGGTGAGGCGTTTTACCTCGGCGGGGCGACTTGCCCCGGTCTACCCTACGTGTGGACAAAAGTACGTCACGGACAAAAGTACGTATAGCAAATGTACGTAGGGTATTAAGTACGTACCCCACCCTTGGGTTAAGTTGATCAATGTGTAATACCTTTCTGATTCTTTATTTAATGAGCATTTGTTACAAGGCATAGCAAAATTTATTGATGAGTAAATGGGCGAAATGGACAAAGCTATATTATTTGGTATATGAATTTATCATGAGTTCCCTGCAGTATGGCAACAGAGCAGCAATAAAGAAAAAGTGGCCCAACTTACACGACTATACCCTACTTCTAACATACGTACTTTATACACTACGTACTTTGGCATACGAACCGTACGTACTTTTGGCATACGTACTTTTTACACTACGTACTTTTGCATACGAACTTTTGCGTACGAACATTTGCGTACGTACTTTTGGCATACGTACTTTATACACTACGTACTTTTGCATACGTACTTTTGAGTACGAACACTTGCGTACGTACTTTTGGCATAGGTATTTTATACACTACGTACTTTTGCATACGAACTTTTGCGTACGAACATTTGCGTACGTACTTTTGGCATACGTACATTTTACACTACGTACTTTTGCATACGTACTTTTGCGTACGAACATTTGCGTACGTACTTTTGGCATACGTACTTTATGCACTACGTACTTTTTCATACGTACTTTTGCGTACGAAACTATTTGCGTACGTACTTTTGACATACGTACTTTATACACTACGTACTTTTGCATACGTACTTTTGCATACGAACATTTGCGTACGTACTTTTGGCATACGAACTTTATCGCCTACGTATATTTGCGTACGAACATTTGCATACGTACTTTTGTCCTACGTACTTTAGCGATACGTACTTTAGTCCTAAAATCGTTTCCTCCTTGGTCGGCGCACAGTAGTTATCAGGCGTCAGGTACGCGTTCTTGTCTTCAGATAATGTACCCGGCAACAAATAGCACGTGCTTTACACTAAGTTTTGAAAAGTTGTAAGCTACTGACTTTCATGTCAGTGCGGCCTTGGTCAGTGCGGCTCCTTCCAGTAGCTGATACTCGTTGAGAAACAAATTATCAGAGCGATTTCTGGCAAAAATCTGGCTATTTCGTGGCCTTGGCGAGTCCTTCCCGGGTCTTCGACATCACACACGTCATACCACTGTTATCATGAGCATTAGTCACTACTCTTTAGGTCCCATCCAGGGATTTCCAGGACCTCATTCAATGTCCTCCATCCACACTAAGTGTTTTTCCCATGCCTCTGTCAATGATTTTCAGACATCATTCTGGTGTCTTTTCACCATTAAATGAGTACTTCATGGGCTCAAGCTCACTGTCTTTCGTACCTACATTCTTCTAGGACTCAGCTGTTTTAGTTCCAAGCTGTTTTCCACTCCAAAGCTGTCTTTTAGGCCTCTGCTGTTTTCCAGTTCCATTCCAAGCTAACTGTTTTCAAGCCATCACCTCACTCTTTTCCAATCCCAAGCTCACTGTCTTCCAGTTATCAGCTATTTTCTAGTCAAAAGCTCACTTTTTTCGGGTATCAGCTCACTGTTTTCTAGTCCACATCTCACTGTTTTCAAGCCCTCAACTCACTCTTTTCCAGTCCCAAGCTGTCTGTCTTTCAGTCATCAGCCGTTTCCAGTCCTCATCCAAGTATTCCACACCTCTCCACCCTCAGTGTTTTCCACACACCCACACCCTCGGTGGCTCCGTCACTCTCTCCACCATAACCCACTGACACTGGCAGCAGTACGCTCTCGCTCCCTTCCTCTCCTCCAATCCCTCTCTCAGCCTCGTCACATCCGGATGGCGGTTCCTGAAGAAGAGGTACTCGGCCTGCGAACCCCATGTGCTGTCGTCAAATGAGAGAATTTTCATGTCACAGGCGGTACAGCGGAGGAATGAACAACCTCGGGTAGGTTCTAAGGTTGTGTTTCTGCCGAGAGTGGAGGAAGGGGGTGAGAGGAAGACACGCACGCAACGCTGGGTGCGGCTAGGGCCGGGAACTGGCGTGGGGGAAGCAGTGGTTGAGGGTAAGTCGCTGAGGAGGGCGTCAGCTTCAGCGAGTAGGGTGTCGAGGTCATCCATTGTGGGATGGGGGGGGGGGGGGGTTGGAGAGCTTGGTAATGTGTGGCAACTGGTGGTAGACTCTTGGTGACACTTGTAGAATGGTGATCGGCTCTTGCAACACTTGAAAACTGGTGATATCAGGTTGAATTTTGTTGATACCTAGTGGATAAAAGCTTCAGAGACCTCCACTGAAGTTGACAGTTGGATGCTAGCGTCAGAATACAGTCTGAGAGTCTGGTATCATCTCCATTTCATCTTCATCTTCTTGTTATGGGGAAGAGTGCCACGATCTCCTGTAGGCCATTCTCTGTGATATGTGCTAGTGTCTGGTATAATTTGGAGGCTTGTGCCAAAGACTCAGGCTCTGAAGAGCTCGGGTGCTGAAAAACAACACATACACACAGATTAGTAAACATGTGACAAATCTGACAAAACATTCTAAAATCTGTTGAATGTGGAAATTGAGATTTTTTTTATAAATTTAGTCCGAACTTTTTGATAGGAAGGATTCACAAGGACGGAACCACCGCTAAGCAAGGGTTGTTGCGGTGACCCTGGCCTCTAACCTCCAATCGCGCGATTCCAGTTCTATGGCAGAATTTAGAGTCCAAAGTTTAACGTGCGCACATAGCCGCGCACGGCCGGACCCCACACTGACTTCTCCTGGCTACGGCCTGCCAGGCACCAATCGCAACCATACCTGTCAGGAGGCCCATACATGTCGAGCGCCCGTCGCGCTTCGTCCAACACTATCAACTGAGCTACGGGACCAGATCCAAATAGAAACCATTTTTCACTCTCATCTCCAATGTCTAGACCAATTTTCTCCTCCCCATTTTACAAAGAAAATGAATTTGCATGGATAGACAATTAATTTGGGTGGTAGATGGCCCTTTATCTTACATAACTGCTCATTCTTAGGTGTTGCTTTTATCCGCTGGGACTGAGAGCGTGAGATGATGTTTTTCGTACTCCAGCGTAGATGGGTAGCCATACGGCTTCCACGGTTGACAGTGATGACATCAGTCATCTTTTGCAAGCTCGTTAAAGATTTGGGCTGTACGGGGATCTTTAACCAAATCTTTAACGAGCTTGCAAAAGATGACTGATGTCATCACTGTCAACCGTGGAAGCCGTATGGCTACCCATCTACGCTGGAGTACGAAAAACATCATCTCACGCTTACATAACTGCATATAAATAAATTTACGTATTGCACTGAGTGCCGAATGGCAACTTTTCACCTCATCCCATTTTTTTGGTTATGATGAGAAATTTCTTAGCATGGAGAAATAGAACCTGACTATAGAAAATGTGTGATTTGATAGGCAAAGGTCTTAACCCGCGCCCCGCTGGGGGGGGGGGGGCAGAATCTGCCCCCCTACCGTTTTTCGCCAATTACTTCTAAACGCGTTACGCCAGCGACGTCAAACTGTCAGTACCTTTTCATACATCAATTTGACACGTTCCCTGAAAATTTGAGCGACATCCGTCGGAAAATTTTTGAGATATTGACGTTTTTGTGACCTCACGTTCGCCATTTTCGCCCCAAAAACGGCAAAATTTCAAACGCCGCTAACATCTTCATTTTTAAAGGAATCAAGACGTAACAAAAAAGGTTATACGTGATTCTACTTTGTCTGTAAAATGGCTATCTCGGTTTTTTTGAAAATTTTGGATTTTTGCACATTTTTTTTTTCAAAAAACTGACTTTTTTGGGAAAATAATTATAAAATCCAAAAGTTTGAGTGTATCGAAAAAAAACGGAATATATGTCAGAGAAGTAGTCTATGTGCACCTACATACCAATTTTTGGAAGAATCGGTTCAAAAATGTGGGAGTTATTCAAAAATTTCATGACGTCACGACACACAAAAATTTTGAAAAATGATTTTTTTGGAAGTTCTAGACCTCGTACGGAAACAAAAATAGCACCATTCGATTCGCCGTGAAAAACTGCATCAGATAGACACCTTTTTAGGCCTTAACAACCAACTTCAAAATTTGACCTCACTTGACCTGACCTTGACCTGACCTCGACCTGAAATTCATCCAGAGGTGGTCCATATCACTTATTGAGTATGCCTATTGAATTCTATGAGTAAAATGACCCATAACACATGTGTCGCACATGCCCTTTTCTATATTTTGTTTTTTGGTGACCTGA